TTTCAAGTTAAATATTGAACAACACACTTTTGTTATTTTATTTTTTATTTTTTTTTTAGTTTGACTAACCATAAATAGTTATTTATTATACAAGGGAAAAAAGTAGTAGATTTTAGCACAAAAAACCGTGAGCTAAAATTTGATATTTTTTCCGTGTATAATACACAATCTTTTTTTGTGTCAGAAGGAAGGACGAATCAATATTGAGAAGATATTACATTATTTCGAAATCTGAAAATTATCCACGTGATATTTCAAGTTTTTAACAGTAGGGGTACCTGCGTTTTATAGGCATCTTTATCATTCTTTTGAAGTAATCAAATCAATCTGATGTCACTTCTGTCAGTTCAATTCTGTGATTTGATTTTAAAAAATTACGAATTCAGTAGTTGTTTAGTAATATACGAAACCGCGAAGTCGAATGGAAGAAAAGGACTTGCAGTTCTTTCTCGGAGACGGTATTATTGACTCAGTTTTCGGAACTATAGCACAACAAAAGCCATAAACAGAGTATATATATGTGATATATATCCGGGAAAAAAGTACTCACTTTTTTCCCACGGGAAAAAAGTAATTTATGAAAAGTGACATTATTTAACCTGCTAACAGAGATGAAATGCCAAACTTTTTTCCCGTCACAGAAAAAAGAGTATTTTCCTAGTTTTTCAAACTACTATTTATTTTCTACTTCTTTTCACTTCGGTAATCTATCTCTAGTTTTCTAAACTACTATTTATGTTCTACTTCTTTTCAGTTTGGTTATCTATAAGCGTGTTTTGTTAGTTTTTCAAACAACTATTTATTACAAAGCTCGTCCGGCCATCTTGAATTTCTTAATATTGGCGAAAGAATCATGATCTCCGACCCCCAAAACACCCAGATACTAATTTTGAGTTGAATCGGACCACAATTACAAAGCTAATCCTCAATATTGGACCCGCCATCTTGAATTTCCTGATTTTGACGAAGGAATCATAATCTCCGACCCCGATAATCCCCAGGTACCTATATTAAATAGAATCGGATCATGATTACAAATCTCGTCAGTCATATTGGATCCGCCATCTTGAATTTCCATAATTAGACGAAAATCAATCTCTAAACCGGAAAACCTCCAGATACCGATTTTGTACAGAATCAGATCATAATTACAAAAGTCGTCCGCCATCTTGAATTTTCAAATTTTGAGGAAAGAATCGTAATCTCCGACCCCAATACCAATTTTGAATAGAATATAGAACATAATTACAAAACTCGTTCGCCATATTGGATCCACCATCTGGAATTTTCCAATTTTGGCGAATGAATCATAATTTCGGACCCCAAAAAACACCAGATACCAATTTTGAATAGAATCGGATCATAATTACAGAAGTCGACTGCCATATCGGATCCACCATCTTGAATTTCTAAATTGTTTCTTTCATAAGAACCTTCTTCTGACAATATCAAACACAACAAAATATTAATGAAATTGGTCCAGCCATTCACGCGTGATGGCGTGACCAAGGAAATAGGTATTAATTTTTAAATACAGGGTGGCATTAAGTGCAAATATTTCGAACCCTGAGGAAGCTCGACGTATACTATCGAATGGCACCAATAAAAAAATATAAGGATCATAATAAAATTTGGGGTTAGAACCCTTTTTCCACCCGAATTTCTACACTGTAGCAATTCTGCCGTCACCTCTGTTCAAATTGCAGCGCAGGAGGGAAAAATTTCGCGGAGTTCAATCAATTGTTTTAAAGTGGTGTATTTGATTTGAAGATACGGGGGTGCTTCCGTAAAAAGTGCGACAAAATTTAATTTTTCAGAACTGAAAATTTTCCAGGAAAAATATGAATAGTTAGTGAATTGGGCATCCTGATTCCGAATCCGAAGTGATTTTCAACCTATTTTGACTCCCAATATCATTTTCCGGAAATTGGGGTGGTTCCATGGCTGTTGGCGAGCAGTGTATATCACTGAAGTTGACCCCACTTGGCCATTTTCGGTATATCTCTCGCTCCAGCAAATTTCAGGATCCTTACCCAAGGATTACGTAAGATACAGGGGTGTAGATAGGTCCAGACATGCATTGTTTTCAATCTTCAGGATGTCGCACTTTTTGTCATCTCTTTGAGCGCACGGAAGGAAATGCCTATGATGTTCTAAGATCATCGTGCATACCTAAGGGGTTAGGAGAGGAGGTAGGTGTTGGAATTTTTCTTGAACCTTTGGAGGTTATAAGTTCTTGGGAGAGAATTGCACAGCTGTGCCGTTCTTCTATAGACGTTCTTTTGAATAATCGTTTTTCCGTGAATGTCATGGGAATCCTTCACAAAATAATTCTGTTGAAAATTTGGCAGTGTTATTTGTAAAAGTAAGGGTAGGTTTTAGTTATTCAAGTCGTCAAGGATGGATAAGACATTTTTCGCAAGAGTTAGGTACAAAGTTTTTCCTATGAGTGTTTTTGTCCATATTATTTATGAAAGAAAAAAAGGTTTTTAATAAACGATATTTTATAATGATGCTACAGAATGACACATAAGACAGAATAGTTACATGGATCATTTAGTTAGTCCTAAATATCCTTATTTTCAACAATACAAAAAAAGTGCGGAAAAGTATCTTTTCAGTACTAGTGCACTGAAAAATACAGAAATAGATGTGTTTCCATCGATATAATAGGAAACTTATTTGAAGAACATTCAAATAACAATAACTAAAACATTAACGATGGTAAATATTGAAACTGAAAGTGCAATTTGTGTAGGAAGTCATAATCAGATTTACAAAAAAAAAGTGTTTTCAAAACAAAAATGTTTTGACATACTGTATAATGAAAACTATGCATTTTCGGGCCTATGTTCATATGAACTTTTCATATCAGTATCAGCAAAGTAATCACCCCTTGAAGTTCGGCCAGATACTAAAATAACACCTTGTATAATGATTAATGTTTGGGAAATAGTAAATGTTGATAAGATTAATTTAATTTCAATTTAACATGCTACAATTTTTTTTCACTTGATGTGCACAAAAGGGAATCCATATATTGTTCCAAGAACATAGTGTGTACCTAAGGAGGATAGGAAAAGGAGGTAGGTGTTGGATTTTTTTTGAACTTTTGAGGGTTATAAGTTCTTGGAAATACTTCCTCAGGCAATGAATTCCAGAGCTTTCCCGGTCTACAGAGAAAGAGTTTTGATATCCTAAAATATTGACATTTATTACCATTATTATTATTGGTTTACTCAGATTTTGAGATTTTTCAGCCTGTTACTAGATAATTTGGGCTGATAAAAAGTATACAACCAAAATGAAGTAAATTATGTCAATTTTACTGTTTATTATGTTATAAAAACAACATACAAATATCATGTGAATTATTCATCAGTGTATCAATTATGCCTTTAGGTTGGGTTAGACCCAAACCTATGGAACTGTACCTAACCTAGAACTGTTTTTTTCATTCTATTTATAATTTTATCCCAATCTAAGAAATACAGTTTAAGGACCCCTATTAAGCTAGCAGAACCACTTGAGATTTTTTAATATTTTTCTTTCACCATAATTTAAGGCTAATTTATTACCTACCCTATTGGCCAGTTTTTGCTCTTCCATTTATGCTGAAAACCGTGGGTTCTGCTAGCAGAACAACTTCGTGAATAAAAGTTCAATCACAAAACTAATTATACCATAATTTGAATCTAATTTAAGGCTCTAATCTCAGCCTATTGCCGATTTTTTCGCACATTGTTTAAGAAAAATCATGGGTTTTGCTAGCTTAACCGTCAAGCTAGCAGAACCAAATCTCAAATAGAAGGAATATATGAATATTGAGTAGACTATAATTTAAGGCTCTTCATTGAACCTATTATCGATTTTTTTGTTTATCATTTCCTGCAAAAATTTTCCCAAATCCAACATGGACATAACAAATTATTACAGTGTGTGAAAAAATCAGCAATAGGCTAGGATTAGAGCCTTAAATTCAAGCCTAAATTATCCTTAAATTATGATATGATTAGTTTTGTGATTGAACTTTTATTCACAAAGTGAGCAGAACCCACGTTTTTAAACATAAATCAAAGAGCAATAAATTCTGCAATAGGGTAATAAATTAGCCTTAAATTATGACTGAAGAAAAAATTGAAAAGTATGAAGTGGTTCTGCTAGCTTAATGGAGTTATATTAAAGATGTCATCCACATTCAAAATCAATCAATTAATCAATTAATTTATTCATTGAGTGTTTATATAACAAATACACTTGCCTCAGAATTGTTCCTCGTTTAATATGAATTTTTATCATTGTTATAATGTGGTTATAACCCAAAAAGAACATTGAAGAAGTACAGGACCTTGGAAAAAACATCTACTTCTAACATTTTGTTTAAACAAAATGAACACAATCATTTTCTACTCAAAGTATTGGAAAATTTAAGGATTAACCCTCAAAAAAAAACTAACTCAAAAAATAACCATAAATAAAAACTTCAATAGATTGATTGGGGAGATGGGGTACAAATAATAATCAGATCATAACAAAAAATCAAAAAAATATATACAACATCTACACACCTAGGTAAAGTTTCAGGTCTGTTTATAGTCTGAAGGGGATTTTATGAATTTAGAAGGAGTGCATTTAAGAGTTATTCAGTCAGCAGTCCACTACTAAAAGATGTTCCCAAAATTCAGTACCCAAGTTACAAGAAGACACATGCAAATAGTAACTAAAAAAAACTTAGGGTCACTGATCTTGTTACTTGTTGGACTACATAGTAGGACTTCATATGGTATATATGAGTATATGCTACAATCGAGGCTACAATCTATTGATACTTAATTAACTGGATTTCTATGTCCTGATAAATGTAAAGAACCCAGTAAAGAACATAATGAGGAATAAGTATAACATGCCATGATTATTAGCTATACCTACTACTAAGGAAACTTATGTAAGATCTACTGAGGAAATCCTCAACAGAAATATTAATTTAGATAGATACTCACAGTCTGATTTGTTCCATCAATTTCCCATTTGAGCATTCATTATATTTCTGAGCACAAGGTGTCATCTGTACCCCATTGTTGTCTGCATCAGTATAAACTCCCAACACTAGACCATTCTATAAAACGGGCAGATTAGAGGCAATTAAATTTCTTTGATTTATTTTTTATACCCTTGGGTTGCTAGAAGAAAATCTTGTAAAAACTTTTGCTGTTAAACTTAACCTAAGAAATCTGCTGCTATTCAAGAATGCCATGCTAAAGATAAAAATATGGAGGGTTGGTAGATTATCACTATTATCAGATAATCAACTGAAGAGAGGAAACAGCATTCAAAGTTGAAAAAAAAGTAATTCTAGATCAAAAACTATGAATATCTTCAATATAGGACAAACCACAACACTTTTTAACCACACATCAAAACACCACACCAGCAGCCCCAGCAGACAGCCCATGTCATGTTGACGTTGACATAAATTCTAGTAAGCCACTGAACTGAACAAACTGCTTACTCTAGCTAGCTTTAATTTTAGCTGTCTGAAAATGGCAACCAAAGATAGCAGCCAAAATCTCCGAACATTGCCGAAGACCCAGTGGCGGACAACATGTTTTTTTTCATGCCTTCAAACTTCAAATACAAAACATCAAAACAATATTGCTGATGCTGCTATCTTCACAGTGCTGAAAATTGATAATTTTCATTATTTCATTTTATAAACAAAAACAATCAAAAAACCCAGAAATATAGTCAAATGAGCCCTAAAAAGGTATTTGTAACTGTGGGTACCACAAGTTTTCCTAAGCTAATAGACACAATAACAACAAAAGAATGTATACATGCCCTGATAGAGCTTGGATACACAAATGTTCAGTTACAAACAGGAGGAGGCTTTTCAAAAGTGAGGCTGGATCCAAATTTGAGTTTACCTGTTGAAATTGAAAAAATCAATGACTCACATTCCATTATCATAGATAAAAAGCTTACATTAGTCTACAATGTCTATTTTCCAAATTTTCAACAGCAAATTGTGGAAAGTGATCTAGTAATAAGCCATGCTGGTGCTGGCACTTGTCTGGAAGTGTTGAAAACACACAAACCTTTGGTGGTAGTCATCAATGAGGATTTAATGAACAATCACCAAATGGAGTTGGCTGAAGAGTTGCAAAAGAAGGAATTTCTATATTTTACTACATGTGATAACTTGAACAGCACTTTAAGGAAAGATTTTTCAATATTAAAGAAATATCCAGAACCAGAGAAAAAAACATTTTCAAATTACTTGGACAGAGCTATGGGATTTTCCTGAATATTTCCCATTTCTGAATGTGTAGATGTAATTCCTAAAGTACCAGTTACCTTTTGAATTGGAGCAATATTCTAACAATTTTTAATGAAAATGATTTAATTTGAATGTCCTAATTATTCCATCAACACAAAATTATTTGTAAAACAGGTTAGAATTCAGAATTTCTAGTCCACCAAATACACTGAATATAAAAAAAACAAATATTGTATCAATACAAAATTTTTATGGATTTGTACTCAGTCTTTTAATTATCATTTAGACCAATTTTTTGGCTTCAAAAAAACTCTTCAAATGTTTCATCTGCCATGCTCCCATAACTAAAAGTACTGCTGTTTGGGTCACTGACCACCAAAGGACTCTGGAGTTGGTGCTTTCACTGGTTTGCCTGAAACGTTCTTCTCGATACTGAAAATGAAATTCCAAGTTATTTACCCCAACACCAATACCTTCAACATTTACCCTCTGGTAGTTCTGTTCTTTGGTGATCTGATCAACTTGGTCTAGCAACTGCCTTATTCTCAGCTGAAGTTCTGAAAGCTTTTCTTTCTGTACTACTTCTCCATAGTTGATAGCATGTTCTCCCACTTGAATATCCAAGTGCACCCTGAGCTGTGATCCACTGAACCAAGCTGTGCTATTTGAGTACATACAGATCACATGCTCTCCAGGAATATGTGAAGTGAATGAGATCTTTCCCTCTGCACTGTACACCCTAGATAAAGTGACTTTGTCATCTGGGTCCCGCACTTCAACATGCATTCCGATACCAGCTGATGAAGGCATGAATCCTCCACTTCGTGGATCGTACAGTTCAACCTTATAATTTACTGTAAAAAACAAGATCATTAGGGACCTTATCGCACAGATGGTATGTGGTATGGAAGATAAACAGTTTGGACTTACCGATGACGTTCGTTTCATCTGGAATTTCTTCTATGAAACATTTTCTTTCCGTTTCGCCGATGTGGAAATACAGGCCGTATGATATATCTATTGCTAGAAGAAAAGCTATGAGCGTTAAATATGCGTTTTTAATCATTTTTTCGAAAAATTCAACCAATTTTTTGGTCACCTCTACACGTCAACAAAACGTCTGTTGCCGTTTCAGATTTTTCAGAATTTCAATTTGTACTAGAAGTTATTCCGAAACTGTACTAAATTCAAGTTTATTGTACTAAATTGAAATGTCTCAAACTTCAAAGTCAAGTCAATTCATCAATATCATCTCTTATTGTTTCTCCGTTGAATTGGAAATTATGGACTTTTCATCAATGAGGGCTTCATTAGGATTCCCATCATAACATATCTTCTCCAAATAATTGTTTTCTCTCTTGTTTTTGTACTAGATTAGTTGTGTATAAAATGTACTAGAAAGGTACAATAGTACCATGGTGGAATTCATGAAAAAGAAACGTCAACGTCAAGAACTTTTGACGTAGCTTTTCTATTTTATTCGTATCTTGTCTATCGGTCTATCTTTGGTACAATTACTAGTTAAACAGAGATACAAGTTCAAAAATTCTTCCGACAACAATCAGCTGATTTTGATAGGATATTAGGATAATGACTTTAGTCATTTGTCAATTTGATTGAAGTCATATGGAAATTGGAAATCGTTGAATTTGTTTCTGATGAGAGGAGGACATTACTTGATTGAAATTAATAATAATTAATTCGTCCTGTCCTCTTGTCCTTTGAGGATGAGGTAAACACTTTACAAAATATGTGTGCGATCTTTTAAGGTCATCATGAATCTTCACCAAATTGTGAGTGGGGCCTGTAATGCAGGTGACAAGTGTTTTGCTGTGGGTTCAGTCGAAGGAGTACCATTCACAGTAAGCAGATGATAAATGCACTCTTTCATCAGAAAAACCCAATGTTAAATTTTTTTCAGGCATATGCTGCTGGATGCAACATTGTAGTTTTGGCTTCTACATTTGAGAGGGTTCAGATTATACCTGGAGCAATTCATGATTATATCAGAATCAGTTCTATAGACTGTTCTAGTGATACAGGAAAAATTGCAGCATCTTATGATGATGTGGTTTGCATCTTTGAACCCACTCCCTTGATACACAACACTTCAGCTCATGTAAGAGTTTTATTGGACTATAAAAGTTGATAATCTTTACAGCATATATACCTATGTATGCATGTTTTTTTATAAAAATTCTTTTACTATAATACTCACAAATTTGATATCTGATAACAAATAGGCTTAAGGCCTAAGTTTTTTTTTCACTCTGGTTTGCTGTATGTGAATTACCAAATATTTGTATTAATTTCAGAACAAAAAGAAATCAACAAAGTTGAAGGTAGATTAGGATTATCAGTGAGCATAAGTGTGATGTTTTCTGTGTGAAATATTTACCTATATAACTCTATAATATTTTCATATATAATTTTCACTGATGCTAATATTTCCAAATACATTTTCACATTTTTTTCAACTTTCTGAAACTGCCCTCTTTTTTTTTCTGTCAAGTTTTCCAATCTTTAAGAAATATTTTGAAAATCTCAATCAACCAAGAATTTTGTATTTTCATGTGTTTTGGCAACTGATTCACTGAACAAAACACTGAAAGTAAGTGGGTCTTGAAGTAGCTATTACCAAAAATTTCTTCAATTGCTCATTCAAAACAAAAATTTCATTACCTGATTATAATATACTAGCTTCTACCCATGAGAGTTGGAGCCCTTGAATAAACATCAAAAGATCATATAAATTCAAATAGAACCAGTTTTTCATCCATTTTCTGAATGAGAATTTGTATTCAGAATTTACTGCACCAACTATTGCAGAAAGAGAGAGTCTAAATGCATAATTAGATGAAAAATAGAACATGTATTTTTCATTCATTTTATGTTGAAGTGCTTGTGCATAATGCTGTTTTTTAACCTTCCAATTATTTGTTTTGTTTTGAAGAATATATAGCCACCTTATTTTGAAGTGAGAAACATTTTTTTGGGATTATGGTGTGTGGTAATGTCACTTTGTTGGTATTTTGAAAAGGTGATTGATGTAATTTAAATTACACATATTATATGTCCACTGATTAATTTTATTGTTATCTCAAATTTAGATAACATCAGTTCTATAGTGGTTTGGTCTTCAGAGCATATGTTGGTGCTTTAATTGAAGAATACCAAAAATATCCATGTATGTGTTTTGTTTTATTAATTAGTGTTGGTATTGTTTTTGTCCACTTGATGAAAAAATCAAAAGAATTCCTTCAAATGGAACCATAGCCCACTATTAAAATTCAATGTTTTAGTGATTTTGGTACATTTTTGATAATATTATATTCACACATTATATATCATGAAGGTAACAAAATGAGACATTCAATGAGATTATAAAATATGTGGTGCTCCATTTAAAAAATCATAAGTTTGAGTCATATCTTTGAAACCATACCCAAAGAAAAAAACACTTGAGTGCGCCACTGCATTCTGCGTAAAATTTTCTATGGTACAAGATCTCAATTTGACAATTTTGCTGAGAAACTTCTTAGATATAGAGGGGGTCCAAAAAGTATAAAATTTGAAAATCGCCCTGTATCTCATAAACGGAAACAGTTATGCAAAATCTGATAAGACCATCTTGAGTTTCACAAAAAAGTGGCAAAGGACCGCGAAAAGCGCAAGCTTCTATCTTCAAAGATAACTGAGATATCACGCAAAAGCATGAAAAACTGGACACACTGTACAGACCAGAAAAAGAATTGCTATGATTGGTTTAATTTCTGAATTATTTTAAATCATGAAAACCATCACGTCCGTATCTTGAAACATGAAACTTATCGCTTAAATGCCTAATTCATGAATTTGTGTTCTGTCATTCGCCACAAGGACCTGTGTGTTCATTTTATAATATTCAATAACATGAAACTTCTATTGTGTCACAGCCGTTTCTAAGCAACAACACAGAGTGCTAGATTTTGCAATATTCCCGTGATACAGTTCCCTTTCACTATTAAAATCTTAAAAAATTCCCACATAGGGCTTAGAGCTTGGCTTAGACTATAGATGAGTTCAAACCGGCACCCTCAAGACAGGGTCAAGCTATTACCAAAATTGTCCTGAAATCTTAATTGTGTAAAATTTTCATAACTCAATCCTGATCATAAAATATAAATAACTATTAAATATTGTACTCAAACCTTATCATAACCCACAGTCTTGTGTATTTTCTGTTGCTTTCCTGAATAATGCCAAAACTCTAATAGCCCCATGATACAGTACCCTTTCACTAGTATAATCTTAAAAATTTCCCACATAGGGTTTAGACTATAGATGGGTCCAAACCGGCACCCTCAAGACAGATTCGCCCATCAGATCTTTGAGTTGGAACCTGGAGGGGTCCCGCCTGCTGACGGCAGGGGCCCACGTCCAGCTGTGGCACCTGAAATCCCAGAACGCCACCACGGAAGAGGAGCAGCCCTCCGTTACTTTCACCCTCGGAGGGGGCCACGCAGATGGGGCCGACGACGGAGATCCGCATTTTGAGCCTGATAAGCCCCAAGGTCATAGTCCAATAAACAATGAATATTTATTTTCATTATTTTTCCACATGTGAAAATGTGACGTGTTCGTTTACTGTTAAAACTGCATGGTCCCCCATGAAACATTGTTTAAATTGAGATGTCAAAATTAATCTAACTTCATGTCCGCCATATTGTTTCTCGTCAAGGTCATTAGATGACGTTCCGATCACATTAAAAACTACTTGAAAACATCCTAACTCCTGGCATAGATTGAAGGATTGATGGAAGTAAAATATGGTGTAATTGCTAATGTGCTTTTGTTTCAGGAATTTTACTTGACCTCTCGAGAACAGCGAGAGCAATGGTTCCGTCGATCTTCTAGTAGATGGCGACATTACACAATTCTGACATCTGTCAGTTTGGGAAACGTCGCAGATTTTTCGAATTCAGAGTTGAAGAATCCGTTACATATGTTCCGCGTACCTAAAATGCCATTTGCCATTTTATTTCCACTCGTCACAGAATCACCATCTAGCGGGAAAATGTAGAATCAACGTCTCGTAGAGAAATCATAGTAGGCGGTTGAGTGATTTTTCTGAAATTTTCAGTACGTAATAATGGTTGAATACGCGCACCATATCTTACTTCCATCATTATTGAAAGTCATAGTCATACTGTCATTTTGATATAACGGTATTCAGAAGACAATGGGCCATTCCATATCATGAAAATTCATCCCTTTCCGCTATAATTTTATGAAGGGAAGTCAAAAACGTTATTCCTCTACTACTACATATTTATCGAAAAATCCGAACAACAAATAATGAACTATTTGATATTGAAAATGCAATTTCAATACCTATGAATTCGAACGCTACTGAGCTGTGATCTCAGTGTCATCTTGCAATTTGATTGGTTGGAGTTGTGGCGGCTAGCACGCCACTGTTGCCAGGTCTCTATAAAATCCTTGAATTGATCCTATGTGCAAGATGGTGCTAGGTGCAAGAAATATGATTCAAAATTATTATTTTTTTATTTTCAATTGCATTTCCTCGTTGGACCCAGCACTGGATCCAACGCCGCATAAGTCGAAACTTGAACGGTGTTAGGAAAGCATACATTTACAAACATCCATGGCCTAACTGGGATTCGAACCCATGCCTCGGTGGGAGTCCCCATACGAACTCAGCGCCTTCGCGCTCTCGACCACTTTGAACTTTGAAGTATTCCATTAGTTTCAAGATTAGCTAGGATAAAATGTGATATATAGTTTCGTTTTTGTTACGATGTTTCGATGTTAATATTTCGTCGAATGTCGGCTTCTAATAGTGAAAGAATTTTTCAAATCGGTCCAGTAGCTTCGGAGCCTATTCAATACAAATAAACAAACAAATATTTCCTCTTTATGAATGTTATGATATTAATATACATTTTCAAAGACGCATGTAGCGGTAATAAATAGAATGCCTCCACCGCGGGAACCATTTAGGGACACTTGAAGAAACAATGTATTTTCATTGAGTTCATTGGACGATACACGGAGTTACGGCGGGCCGACCAGGAATTAGTGGGGTGACTTGTTATTAGTCATTGTGGTGCTTTTCCCATTATTAAAAACAAAAAATAAGTTGACGAACTAGAGCAACATTGCAACACTGCATTGCACCTGACTGTATCCGCTTATTGTAGTCATATACTACTACTACATCAGAATAGTCACTTATTGAATTCCAGAAAGCATCAATTGAATTTCAGAAAGCATCAATTGTATTTCAGAAAGGAAAAATTGTATTTCAGAATAGTCACTTGTATTTAAGGAATCTTCAATTGAATTTCAGAAAGTGTCATTTGAATTTCAATTGATATTTTCTGAAATACAATATGGGACTATGTTAATATCCTTCAAATATTTCATTATAGATAAAGCAAATAGTTCTGAAACTCTTCAAAGGTCTCATAACCATAGTTTGTTGGGCAAATGCTGAAAATATTTGTAGGTTTTTTCATTGAAACAATGTTCAAACAAATATGTCTATAATAAAATAGAATGAAACAGATTCCTATTCTCCAATTTTGCATTTTTTGGAAAATGTCTTGCCCAACTTGGAAGCTTTTTGTGTTAACTTGGCTTGAATTTAAAGCAGAAAATGACACTATAAATAACTCAGTGTTTTTTACTATGACAATGTCTTTATTTTTGTGTTTTTGTACTGTAGAACAAGAACAAACTACTTGGCAATGTGTTTGGAAAGCAAACACTGCTATTCCTGTGCAGCATCTCGCCTTCAGTCCAGACGGAACACTTTTTGCCACTTGTGGCGAAAATGACAGACTAGTTAAAATTTGGTATGAAAACAGACATGGTAAGTCACTAAAAAAATCCAGAATTGAAACGAAGCAAAAGTGGTTTTAATGAATTATTTATTTTTGCAGTTCTGTTCACTTGTAAAAGCACTGAACGCCCTGTCGATTTGGAATACAGCTTTGTCTACATCGCCCATCCCAGAGCTGTCACTCATCTGTCATGGAGGACAACCAGCAAATATATGCCAAAGTAAGTTCAAACCTCAGGACATTTATATTCCAACTTCACCCAATGTATTTACTGTTCATTTTCTATGTCTCTTATTAATTTTTCACTAATTTCAACAATCAAATCTGCAGTGATTTCAATAAAGTATTCTACAGTGTGTTTAAATCTGCTCAACCCCACCCATGTGTTTTCCGTATATATTGGCGAAGACCACTGAGGGATGAAATCCGTCTAAACCTCTTTCAATCGATGAATCATGATTTACATTTAATGTACAATCAATATCATGAGTAAAAGTTGAAAGGAATCGAATATATAGCGTTTTGAAATGAGCATATTCCATTCAATACTTCAAAAAGCCAGATATAAAGGTGGAGCCGTGACGTATTAGTCCCGAACTAGCTATCTCTCTCTCTCTCTCTCCTACTCTACCATTCTGCAGTGTTGCAGTGTGATTGGTCAGCTCAAGGACAATAAGCGTGTTGGGACTAATACATCACAACAATCAATCTATCAAATCATTTACTTTCCATAACTGACAACATAAATTGTATAGGAATAGTCAAAGATACTAAAAAACTATAAAACGTACAAACTAAAAAAGAAAAAACTAGAAAACTTACAAAATAAAGAGTGTATATAACAAGTAGGAATATTACGGACACAAAAACTCGTTCACAGTATAAAAAGTTTCTGCAACTACAAACATTTTGAATTGTTTTTTGAATTCTATTTACTTTGTACAATTTTTTATTGATTCGGGTATTTGTTGAATAACCTTGGCCTAATAAAGTTTGGCGATGAACTGGTAATATTCAGTAACAATTATTTGACACCATTTCAAATGGCACAGGAAGTTTGTGTTTTGAAATAAACATATTTTAATTCATTTTTTCATTGTCCTAGCATGAATGAAAAAATTCAAAAATCAGTGCTTTGTGCTTTGTTTTCCAAGTCATACTCAAGAGGCTTCATGAAAATTTTGGAAGTACCTATACTGTGATACTTTTTTGGATAGCTCCTATAAGCATTTTTACTTTTTCTTGTGGACCTCAGAAATATGCCGAGGCATGTTTTTTATTTTTTTGAAAAAGAAGCGGGACAATATAAAAAGTCAGATTTTCATCATTTATCTTGTTGTTTTTGTTCTTTATTCGCGATAGAAAATAACACTTCTGAGCGGTTTGTTTTGATGATATGATATATGACCATAAGCACTAACAAAATACAAATGTGAACCAATGAAAATGAAGTAAACATGCCGCTTTGACAGCTTTCAAGAAATCCGATAGTTGGCGTACGCTTTTTTTTATCGCGAATTACTGTTACCACCGACACAACAAGGCCAGACTCCATAATGTTATGAGGCCAAATTATGAAAATATCATCTACGTATCGCCACCACGTTTTAGGTTGTTTTTGGTAATTTTTGACGATGTCTTCAAAATTCTCCATGAATATATTGCTTAAAATTGGAGATCATGGCCATTCCAAAGTTTTGTTGATAAAACTTATCACCCAATTGAAAATATGTTGTGTTTAGACACAATTCCAAAAATTCCATTATTCCTTCGATACTTAGATTAGTTCATTCAGTGAGATTTTCATCGTCTTCTAATTTATGTTTCACTATTTGTGAAGTTTTATCTATTGGAACATTTGTGAATAATAATAATAATAATAATAATACGTCTTTATTATTTTCAATTAACAAAAAAAAAACTACAATTTGTATCCATAATGGTTTAAACAAAATAAAAGGCGAAGTTCAGCTTTCATTTAGCAGAACTAAACGAAAGCTGTTCTTCCACTTAACCTGAAAAAATTCCCTGTGAGCGAGCAAACAGAGAGACAGGGAAAAAAATTGAAAAATAATGAAAACAGTATCATGTATAGGTGAAAGGGGAAAGAGAGAGAAAAATAAAGAAATTTATGAAGGTAGTGTATGGTAGTGTATGTCCGATCAATACTACTAAATGCTCGATAATTATTGATGGTAATTCAATAAAAATGTATTTAGTTCCATTTTGAATCTGGAGGTTTTCAATAATTTGATTTCCTTTGGAATAAAGTTATAGTTTCTACATATGTGAAAGCTGAATGATCTCTTGAAGAATTCGGTATTGAATATGGGCGGCGTCAAAATATTTTTAAATCTTACATTTAAATTATGAATATCAGTACGGTATGTTATTTTTCTGTGTAAGTATGATGGCGTTTTACTTGAAATAATTTTATGATAAAGAACGTTAGCGTGTAGAATTCTCCTGTTCTCCATATTTAGCCAACCAGAACGTTTCAATGCGTGTGATATTCTTTGCCTTCTTCTGATACCATATATCAGCCGAAGACAAGAATTTTGTACTGTCTGAATTTTACGCTTATATATGTCAGTTAAATGGGGACCATACAGAGCGTCAGCATAGTTGAAGTGCGATAGCACCAATGCTTCACAAAGTGATATTTTTAATTTTGAGGATAGATAGTGCCTGTTTCCATATATCAGCTTGATTGAAGCGTAAGCTCGTTGAATAAGCTTTCTTACATGATGCTCAAACCGCAAATTAAAATCCAGAAGCACGCCAAGATTTTTTGCAACATCCACCGTATCAAGCCTAGAGCCCATCACATTGATAACAATATTGCTATTTACCGTACTTCTCATATGTTTAGGACCGAAGGTAATGACGTTAGATTTATCAGAGTTGACAATAAGACAATGATCAGTTGCAGCTTTAATAAATGAATTCAATTCATTGTTGATTACCTGACTAGCATTCTCATACATAAGTGACGGAAAACTATAATATATCTGTGTGTCGTCAGCATACAGGTGTATATTGCATTGATTGAGACTGTTTATGAGATTGAATGTGTAGATACTGAACAGTAAAGGCCCCAAAATAGATCCCTGAGGAACACCTGATTTGAGATACATATTTTCTGAATTAGTACCATCGATACAAACTTTTTGTCTTCTATTTCTCAAGTAGTTCTCTAGTAGTGTAACAGAGTTTTCAGAGAATCCTATGTAATGGAGAATGTGAAGGAGTAATCCATGATTAATCGTATCGAAAGCTCTACTAAAATCCAATAGTACCAATACTGTACAGTAACCATGGTCTGTCGCTCTAATAATGTCATCCACAACGTGCAGCAAGGCGGTTGTGCAACTGAATCCTTTCCTAAATCCCGACTGTACTGGCGGTAGCAAGTTCTGTTCAGACAAAAACTCTGAAATCTGTTTTTCAATGGCCCGTTCCGCGATTTTTGAGATTGTAGGTAATATACTAATACCACGAAGGTCTTTATATTCTACAGGATTTGATTTTTTTGGAAGAACTCGAACAACTGCCTCTTTCCAAGATGATGGAAAAACATTTTCCAGCAAACAGAAATTTACAATATGCGTAATGTAGGGCACAATATGTGGGCAACATAACTTGATCAATTTCATGTTTAGTCCATCCATACCAGTTGCATTACTCTTGATTTTACAGAAACATTCATAAACAAATAAATCATTTATTTCTGTGAAATTGAATTGGGAGTTGATAAGGAGATTATTTTTGTAGAAACTCACGAGATTTTCTGGAGGAGACATTGCAGGGATAGAGTTTATCAAAAAATTATTTATTTCATTCACTTTTTTCAACTCTTCTGGGATACCACTCCCTTTATTATGTAACAGTTTTGTGTCTTTCAAAATTTTCCATGTTTCATGCGACCTGCAATTATTTAGTTCATAACTAAAATATGCTTTTTTTTCGCGGACGATAGCTTTTGTTGTATAGTTTTTCATATCTTTGTAAAAGCGCAGATGTACCTCCGACTTCGTTCTCCTATATTTGTTTAAGGCTTTATCCCTGATGGACATCATCAGTTTGATGGTGTCCGTTAACCAGGGAGCCTTAGGCTTTGTTACCCTTGAAGTTATGAAAGGAGCATGTCTGTCGAATAAATCTGTTATACAATTAACCAGCATAGAAACTTTCTCATCTACATTTTCCTGGTCATATATCCTGAAAAAGGGTGTATTAAAAAGATCCAGTCTGAAATTGTCCTCATTGAAATATTTGAAACTGCGATATGTACACATTTTAGGTCCTTCCGCAATTTCATTCATGTTCAGTTTGAATTTTAATAGATGGTGATCTGAAACACCCTGTATATCGACGACTTCACATTCTTTTATTTTTTCCTCCCCTGATATGACGAAATCTATTAGAGTTGCAGAATTATTTGTTATTCTAGTTGGAAGGTCTACATACTGTTTGAGATTGAACGAGTCCAAGAGAGCAAGAAAGTTATCCACCCTACTGTTATTCAGTTCGAACAAGTCGATATTGAAATCCCCAGAACACACAATATCATCCAAACTTCCTACATCAAAACTAAGAAGAGTATCATTTATATCAAGAGTGATGTCATTAAGCTTTTCTTTAAACGCAGTGACATTTTGGGGCAAATCATCTGAGTTGTCCTTACTACACGTATATTGAAATAATATTCATATTTTTATTATATTGAAACGAGGAGAGAAAATCAAAAAAAAAAATCCCAAAAAAATATCCAAAGAAAAAACAAAAAATAAAATTAAAAAAAAATATCCAAGAAAAACTCAAAAATAAAAATGGAATAATGAATCTAAGATATGTTACCAAATCTAGTAACCTAACCTGAGATATGTTACCAGATCTAGTAACCTAACCTGAGATATGTTACCAGATCTAGTAACCCAACCTAAGATATGTTACCAGATCTAGTAACCTAACCTGAGATATGTTACCAGATTTAGTAACCCAACCTGAGATATGTTACCAAATCTAGTAACCTAACCTGAGATATGTTACCAAATCTAGTAACCTAACCTGAGATATGTTACTAGATCTAGTAACCTAACCTAAGATATGTTACCAAATCTAGTAACCTAACCTGTGATATGTTACCAGATTTAGTAACCCAACCTAAGATATGTTACCAGATCTAGTAACCTAACCTGTGATATGTTACCAAAAAAA